GAGTTAGAAGCAGCTGGGAGAACCGGTAAATGTTTAATAGTCAATACTTATCAAAATTCAAGAACCTTCTAGTAAGTAGGTAAATATTTAAACATGTCCAATAAAACATCACATAAATCAGCTGAAATGAGACACTCAGATGAAATACTCTGTTTTGCTTCTGCTGTACACCTTTTTTTTAAAGGACTTCTTTAAAAGCACCTCCTGAGTGCTCAGCATCCGACCCAGCTGAGCTGCTTAAACTGGTGACTTTAAATCGGAGGGGAAAGGGATGTGGTTTGCATGAGGTAGATTTGAGAAAGGAGCTGAAAACAGTCGTCGTGTAAGCAAACGTTGTCATTTCTGTATAGTCGTCCGACAGGTTCTTCTTTGTTTCTGCACACACCTCCTGAGTGCTTCACAGAAATACTTGTCAGGAGACTGAGATTAGAGGATGGAGGTGAAGCTACGGTTGTTGTGTCAAGATTTGTTCTTTCAAGGTGACGGGGTGAATGATTCACAACAGGAAGTCAAACAAATGTGTCAACCAAGGARACGGTGAGCTGGGGCAGGGCGAATAAAAAAGGAAAGTTCCAACGTGAGAAATGGATGCACTTGATGACGGCAACGAAGACTCAACTACAGTTGAGAAAGTACGAGGAAAGGAAGGGTGTGAAGATGTTGAAACGGTACAAATTGTGAATTTAGGTGTCAAAAAGAGGTTAAAGGAAGGGAGAAAGTGCAGACAGACTGCTACGTAACTGGAATACAGCAGCACATTAGCACAAAGCTAATTGGTTAAACTGAGTTATAAATAACTGTTGAGTCTGCCAGGTCCAAGTGGGGGGCAGGCGTACCTGGCGGTACTTTACAGGGGCAGACAGTGGCAACGATAAAATTCAGCCTGTCTGGACTGTGAGAGGAGTCTGCTGACGTTCATGTTATTCCCAAAACAAGATGCAAAGGTAGATTGTAGCGAAATGCAGGTCCGGTTTGGTTATTCAGCTATGATGGGATGGATGCTTGTTTTGCGTTGCTGTAAGTGAGCCAATTGGATCGTGTTTCAGATTGTATTAGTTTGTTCAACTACCTGTTTGTTTATAATTACCGTAGATGTCATTAAAATTCTCGTGAAGTGTGCTGACAACTAAATCACAACAAGGTATTAGCTTTAAGGTGATGACCGTAAGTTTTTTATCAGCAGTGAAGCGTACATTTATCTGTGGTAAAGCCTGGGAAACCTGTGGGAAGAGGAGAAACTGAGGAATAATAATAATAATAAAAAAGCTCCTTGTTATACATCAGGAGTTATATAAGAGAGAAAGCAGAGAAAGTTTGACTGCGTGGGGAGAAATGTGACCTCAGTGTTTAAAACGGGATGGAGATGCTGTACGAGGCGGCAGAGCTTCTTGTCTTTAAATAAAAGCATGCAGGCTTTTCTGTGCATCATCCTTAACCACAAGCTTTTATTATAACGTCCTATAAGGACGATTTCACGTCCAGGAAACCCATTGTTTTTGCCAGTGCTGGTTTTAAATGGTTTACTTGGCCTCACAGATCTATGTGAAGTTGTTAGTGTGAGGTAAGAGGAGAGCCTGGTGTAAGAGGAGAAGCTTTGGGTTTCAGGTGAGCACATCCGTTGCTCGTCAAGAAACCGGTTGAGGATTTGAAGGGTAAACAGTTTGTGTTTGGTCTACAAATACAGTATACTGCCTCAGCAAGTTAATTTTAGACCTCAGCATTCATAAAGYAAATATTTAAATGTATGCAGTAACAACCTGGTGTTTAACTGCGGGGAGGAGATGACTGCTTTTGAGTTTAACTAATAAGTAAGATCAGGGGTGTCAAACTCAGCCACACAAAGGAGCCAAAACTCAAAACTTGGTCCAAGCCCAGGACCAAAATGTTACAGGATGAATTATTCTTAGAAGTACAAATGGAATTTTATGTAGCCTAACAGATAAAAAAAAACTCATTTAGAGAAAATCTTTTGCATGTATTTCTTAAGCCTCACTCTCTGACAACTTTTTGATTTATTAATCTAATAAAGTTCATTGTGTCTATAAAATCAATCTACTACATTTTCCTCATTACTAGACACTTTTTTATCACATTTTATTTTATTATTTCTCAAAGATACGTTTTAACAAAATCCAGCAAATTGAGTAAAAAAATAAAGAAAACCTTCACTTCAGATGCATCTTCAGTTATTTTTTTAAGGTAACCAAATGAGTAAACCAGAGGAATACTATATATAAAACTGACTCATACCGTCTTTATAGACTCTTGGTAATCTATGAACTTTGTATAATACACTATCTATTAATGCTATTTTTACTAATAAGCATGGAATTAGTTGTTGGGTTTTGTTTTAGATGAATATCTTTGATCTGATATCTTCAGCTCAGTTCTAATATTAGCCCTGATTTGAATTGAAAAACCAAACCACAAGCTGGGCAGGTTTTATTTTCAGCCTCTTCTGGGAGGTTCAAGRTTAAGGTTGGCTTCAGATCTGCTCTGTTTACATTTTGAAGCGAACCTGAGGGAGCGTCGTGAAGGCCGGGCACTCCTCCGCTGCTGCAGAGGGTAAATCTACAGGATCCATGAGTCAAGAAAAACAAAGGACGTGTTTTCCACGCAGACAGGCTCATCGCTCTTACTCTGAACACTGAGGAGGGGGAAATGACGAGACAGAAAATATTGCTACWTTTGTTGAAACGGTTTGTTAAAAAAGTAGAAACTGTAATGTGGCAGTRGCTTTTTTATTAGAAGTTTGCGTGTGTGCAGGTCAGACGAGTAGTATGTGGTTTGATCGGTGTAACAGGTCTACACAAAGACACATTTCTGTCATGTTACAGCTTTTGAATGGCATCTTGTATGTTGGGTGTGATGCGGCTCTCGTCTCTGAGGTCGTGGAGGTTGTCGGTGGTTAATCTGTCGAAGCATCTGCAGCCTCAGTTCAGGAACAAAGTGTTTATCAAACAAAAGCTTCTTAAAACTCCTGAACTCAGTTGATTATTTTTTCCTGATATGAACACAAAAAGAAAAAAAACTGGCAGAGATACATTTAAATTGGAAATTAAAATGGAAACATTTGGTAATATTTCACTTTATGCAAAAAGCTTTTTTCTTTATACTAAATTGAGTGAATGTTTATCAGAGCTGCTCAACTTTTAGGCTGCAGAGTATATAATTAATGTAGTCTTGAAAACATAAATTTTGTCTGTATGTTTCTACTGTTTTTATAGTTTTGATAGTTTTTATAGTTTCAGAGCTCAGAGCAGTGAGAGGAACACCTTTTCACAGAAATCATAACGCTATAAAAACATTTTTCTGTTTACAGACGTCTGTTCCTGCTGGTTAACCTGCTGCTACGACACATTTGGATTTTATTGTCCTTTTAATTGGGACTGATTCTAGTTTTATATTTATTTGCATGTTGAACGAACAGTAAGCAAAGTAAACGATTTACACAATGAATCATTACTCTTTAAAAAAAAAAAAAAACAACAACCTCCGCCCGGTTATTGTGGTTTCCCATAAACCTGTGTTTCTAATCAATCTGTTCCTGGTTCTTAAACTGTTTGCGTCAAAGTCCTTGTTCTGTCCTTGCTTTGGCATTTTTCAACACAGATAACAACCATTTCACACACACACACACACACACACACACACACACACACACACACACACACACACACACACACACACACACACACACGTTCTGTTTGACACCACAGTGCTGCCTTTGGTAAATGTTTTATGAACTGCCTTTGTCTTGCACGTTGTGCACCTGGCCTTGGTTAAAGAGGAGGGTTTGTCCAATGTGTGTGTGTGTGTGTGTGTGTGTGTGTGTGTGTGTGTGTGTGTGTGTGTGTGTGTGTGCACGCGCGCGCAACAGGGTGTGCTCTCCTTTAATGAATAATCATTCTTGTGGCCTTCATTTTGCCCACTGCTTTGCCAGACTTTGCAAAGAAAAAGAAACCGACGGTGCAAAGCTCCGGATTTGTCATTTGCGTGACCACCCATGATGGGATTTCTTGTTTTGTCTTTGTCCAGAATAAGTCCTGGCACAAGTTGAAGAACATGGTTCACTGGTCCCCGTTTCTTGAGTCCTTCAAGAAGCATCGCTCATGGGTGCAGCTAGCGGGCCATACAGGTAAGCTAATGTAGCTCTTGTCACGAGCTAGAAGATGAGGTGGATAGCACCTGTCGTCTGCTGCAGATTTAGTTAGTTTTTTTTTTTGCTTTGCATTGAGCACTTTTAACACAAAAACCTGGAAACAGAAAAGAAAAAGCAGGCAGCCTGACACTGTTTAAAAGTAACAGAATYGCCTCTTTGTCCTTTTCAAGGTAACTTCCAGCTGGAGGAGTGCGGGCGGCTGCTGAAGCGATACTGTGAGTGTGAGCAGCAGTGTCTTCAGAAGCTGATGAACGACGTCCTGCAGCCCTTCGTGCCCGGATACTACGGCGTGGTGCAGAAAGACGAGCAGGACTACAACATCATGGACGACCTGCTGGTCAGCTTCGACTCGCCCACCATCATGGACTGCAAGATGGGCAGCAGGTAGAGCGGAGACTCCCTGACCGCACTGACCGCAGGGTTCACGCTTTATTCAACGTGTTAAGAAGATGTGCCAAATTCATTTCAGGACCTACTTGGAAGAGGAGCTTAAAAAAGCAAGAGAACGTCCACGCCTGCGGAAGGACATGTACGAGAAAATGATGGCGGTGGACCCCGGGGCCCCCACGGAGGAGGAGCGGGCGCAGCAGGGGGTCCTCAAACCCCGGTACATGCAGTGGAGGGAGACGCTCAGCTCCACCGCTACGCTCGGCTTTCGCATCGAGGGCATAAAGGTCAGAGGCCAACCCGAACATCCCTCCCTGTTAACATACCTGGATGCAGGTCAAAACAATGAAGCCTGTTTGTACAAGAAAGACACAATTAGTGGGAGTAAACTTCTGAAGTGGAAATATAAAGCAGGCTTTAGTTTGTCTGAACATGCTGCTGTTATTTAAATAAATAATCCCAGAGTTTATTGGGGTGTAAAATAATCTCTTTGCATGCTTCAAAGATACAAATGAAAGCATCTCTTCACTAGGGTTGGGCAATATTGGCAAAAAAATTAATCACGATTAATTGTGGTATTTAGACAATAACGATTAATTTGACGATTAATCCCCTGGAGTCCCTGGACATCCTTATGTCCTGGTCACATGACCARTTTAGTGGGAAAGATTTCCTTTTCATAAAAATCTGTTCCAAATTGTGTCAAAATTACAGACTTCAGGCTGTACATCAATTTTTTTAATTGTGTTGATGAATAAATTACAGATTTTTTTAATGTTTGTCATATTTGAAGCAGAGAGGAGCAGCGCACTGACTCTGCCTCGTGGCGTTAATCGTATTAATCATCAAATGCCAAAAAATAATCGATTAATGTTTTTCTGACGATTAATTGCTCACGGTACGATTATGCCCAACCCTACTCTTCGCTGTGTTCGCACGGTTCAAATCATCTGTTTTCAGTTTTACTTTCGTCTGAAGTGATCCTACGGTTCTTATCTGCAGAATCTGGAGCAGGATTTTCTCAAAACCTTTAGTCTCCAAAAATAAACCATTTTCAAGATGTAAATCAAAATATGACCGGAAGATAAAAAGAGCAAAAACAAAATAATCTCATGTGTTTTTTTTGTTGTTTTTCCCACAGAAAGCTGAAAAAACTCGCAACACCAACTTCAAGAAGACGAAGCACAAAGACCAAGTGATGCAGGCCTTGGAGGACTTTGTCGACGGCAACACCCAGATTCTGGTAAGTTACTGAAGAAAGCAACAGTCAGGGTTGGAACTGGTAAAAAACAGGGACAGTGTTGAAGCTGTTTTTTGTCTTAGTTGAATGAAAAGCTGAATTTGAAGCTACTGGCAGCAGACAGTGATCATAGTTTGACAAAGACAAACGCAAACTTGTCATAATCAGTTCCTGTCTTGTTAGATTAGGAACCAATCATGGACTCGGGTTTTGGTCTCGTTGCACCACAGCTTGTCTGAACAAGAACTACATTCTGCAAACAGCAACTTGACGGTCGTGTTTCTTTCTCAATTCCCATTATGTAAGATTTAAAATGGAAAATGTGCGTTTGCCTCAGTTTCTCCGGTCTTTTTGCAGCTCTTGCTTTGCGTCACGTTTAATGTTCAAACAGCACGTGTTGAGATGAAGGATGTAAAGTTTTAGATTCATTAGAACCAGTAAAAAAAAAATTTTTTTTTCTTTTGTATGTTCAGTTCAGTACCTTCTTTTTTGTGTGTTTTCTGTGTTGCAACTTCCTGTTTTCTGTTCTCTCGTAATAATTGGTCACATCCTTTTTTTTCTGTTTTTATTTTAAAGAAACTTTACCTGCAGCGGTTGGAGGAACTCCGCTGTGTCCTGGAGCAGTCACAGTTTTTCAAGACACATGAGGTGGGACACTGTCTCTTTTCTCAAACCCGTCCTCTCAAACCCGAGGTGACCCGTCTCACCGGTTCCTTCCTCCGTAGGTTGTGGGCAGCTCGCTCCTGTTCGTGCACGACGCCTCCGGAAAGGCCAAAGTTTGGATGATTGACTTTGGGAAAACCGTTCCCCTGCCCGCCCCGATGACCCTGAACCACAGGACCACCTGGGTCGAAGGCAACAGGGAGGACGGCTACTTGTGGGGACTGGACAACCTCATCGACATCTTCAGCAGCATGCTCCTCAAGACGCCTTAAGAGGGAGACAAAACCCAAGAGGAGCGCAGAAAAAGATGGTTGATTTTTACACAAGCTGAGACTGGAGGAGTGGTTTTAAGAGACACGTATTCAAGTCTTTATTATTTTAAACATCCCTGCAGTGATYCAAGTATCTTAATCAATGTCAGAAGCAAAAAAACACAGGACCTTGTGTTGTGATCGTTCAGAGCTTCAGATTCAGGGAAACATGAGCAAACAGGAGGAAAGGGATAATTCCAACATACAAGTCTATTTTATCACACAAACTGTGACTTATTTTCTGAGAATACAATCCTCAGTTAACCTTTTCCCTAAAAAGATACACCATCGCTCCTCAACGGCGCCCTCTCTTGGTTGCACGGCGCAGTTGTCGTGTAGCCAGGAAATGGAACCACCTTAGTCTTTTAAGCATATGGTAACACTAAAACACTGGTCTGACCAAGTGTTGACTAACTCAGTATGTAAATAGAGCTTAATTTAATTTTTATTTTATTTTTTTAGTTTTTGGCTGTGGGTTAACCTTCTTACCGTTTCTACGACGTATGTGCCTGGCTCTTTTTATTTTTAATAATACCGATGTTTGATCATTCCAGTGAAAACGACGTGCTCCAAAGAGTTCAACCCAAGTATGAACTGACTTGCATCAAACCCCAAAGTTTTTGTCTCTAATTGAAACGAGTTCATTATTTTTGTATAAGCTTTTTTTAATTGTATAATAAGCAGCTCTGAGCTTCGTTTCTTTAGAAAAAGTTTCAATCTTTTAAAAAAAACGCCACTGAACAAAAACAAGCAGTGCCTCTGTTTTCAGTATTTAGTTTACAGGTTAACATGAATCTAATTTGGTGTTCAGTTCTTTTTAGTTTAGAGGTTTTTGACAGTAAAAACCAAGAATCAAGTAAAACTGGAATTGACTGGATGATTTTAAAAYGATCCATCACATGGCTGGAAAGTTTTCAGATTAAAAGTATAAATCATAATCTGTATTTAAATACAATAAACTGGATATTTGTGTCTTATTTTAGTATTCAACATATAGTTTACTAAGAGAGTTCAGTCTTCCAGATGTTCAACAGTGTCGAGCAGCTCTGTTTTTCACTCTGTACGTTTTATTTTACAGCTCRCTTCTGAAATTAATTACACAAACACCAGGGGAACGGAAGGGAGTTTCAGTGTTTACAAAGTATTAGCGTCTGCCCCATAATTTCTCTTCAGGTTAGTAAAGCGGCAAACGTCAGGTCTTCAAACTGGGTGCTGCTTTCTAAGCGAGGAAATTGGATATGAACCAGTTTTTATATTTAAAGAAAAAAGGTTTTTTTTTTTGGATGCAAACTTTGGTTGAAACCAACTAATCCCTGCTTTGTTCATCTCATGGATTGTAATAAACTGGAAATAAGAGTTTTCAGGGTGTTCCTTTATTTTTTTTTTCTTGTTATACTTGTTCAAATTTCACACTGAGGGGGCAATAAAATAAAAATGTTAAAAGATTTAAAATGATCTTTTGAATACATCTGTTCAGTCTGTGGAGAAACTTTACCCGGTTATTCTTTAAAGGGGCAATATTATGTGTTTCTCAGGCATACATTTAAATACTATACCATAATAAAGTATCCATGTCACCT